TTCTCATGTACTAGCTGTCTAAAAACAGCTTTAGCAGTTTTCTGTAGTTGTCAATAAAGATCCTATAAAATCGAAAAGGTAATCTTAAACTTTGAATCTCACGTAAAATCCAAGCTAGTTTTTTTATGTTAAGAGTTTCCAGTTACACTTGTTTGGACAGTAAATAGAGCGTGAATCAAAATGTCACATTTTGCACAAAGGTAGGTTAAGTTGGCATTTAAACAATTGTTTAAGAACACTATCATCACAAAAAAAAGATTCTGCTGCATGTCTTATTATTAACATCGACATATCATCGGTTGTTTACTGATTTAAATTTGGAGTAAGACATAAAAACTAATTAGATAATGCAATAATTAAATAATAATTCAGTTGGACAAGAAACGCCTAAGATGCATTTTCTGCCAATAAATATCGGGAAGGTTACTGTAACCATTTGACCTTGAAACTGTAGACAACAAGATATCAAATGCCTGCAGGTACATGTCCTACGACCGCCGTATTGACATTGCCTGTAGGGACGTGTTCCACCACCGTCATATTTGTTACATCGACTGTGCCTGGCTTTTGCAAATTCTGTGGATATTCGATCTTGAACGACACTAAAAACAAAATTATAATAATCATTACAGCCGCAGGTATAGTCGGATAGGATTTGTGATTAAGTAATACTGGTCCATGGATTATCGCACTCACAAATATGGCCAAAAGTCTAATTAAATTCAACGTAAATAATGACGCTTTTGTTGAATTATCTCTTTTGTAATGGTATATCAACCGAACCGCAACAAATATAACGACCGCCACTCTGACAGCAAAAAGCACCATCACACATGTGTTATAGACAGTAAGGTCATTCGACAACGAACTAAATTCTAATGCCGAGTAAGCAAGCTATATATAAAAAGCAAGTTAAATATTTTGATACAAGCAAGTAAATATAACAAATATATGACACTGAGTACAATGACATTATAACTTACCCCAGAAAACCAAACAAGAGTCAACAAAATTGTGCCAAAAATAACATCAAACCCACTAAATTGTGTTCGCTTTAGTGAATATAATATCAATGTAGATATCATCATTCTCAGCAATTGGTAAGCTATTGGTCCAATATAATAGAGATTGTCGTCTTTGTAATTAAATATATTGTGTTTCTTGTTATCATACGTGATATCCGCTAAAGTCCAGGTTAGCGCCATTCCATTGATTAAGAGTTTATAGATAGCTAAGCCTCGGTCTTGATTCTTTACGATATAGAAGATCGTAATCCCTGCGCAAATACCAGCAACCTAATAAATTAATATAATATAAATTTAACACATATTTTTATTTAAATTTGAATTGATAAACTCGTTATTTACCGTCGCTACTGCCTTCCAACTATTGATATATGTCTCTAGTTTTGAGTTGGTGTTTACCATTTTGCAATAAAAGAAACTGTTTGGTATGGTATTAATCTATCGTTTTAAATACAGATACCATATGACACAATATTCATATTGTATAACATTTGTCTTTATGTTTAATTGCAACACAGCATTGTTTCGAAATATGGAAGCGTTTGTGTTTCAACATAATTAATTAGTTCTTAATTAATAATCTGTTATGGATCAACGCTATCTATAAGTTAAGATCGACGGACATTATGGTGTGTACAATGAAACCTCCCTATGGCACGCCCCGAATGTCTGAATTGAATATGAAATTCTTTTTTGTAAACATTTAAGCTTCAAACAATTATTCCGTCGCTTGCTATGCAAATGTATATGAATTATCCGGGCGAAAATTTTAACTCTCAAACACTTACACAATTACGTCACAACCAGCAAAATCAGGCACGACCGAAATGTGTGACAGGTTATGTCGAAGATGGTGGCGTGACCGTCAATTAATCTGACTGTCCCCCAAAATGTTCGTTAGTGGCTATGAATTGTCTTTCCCTGATTTACATTATTTAAAACATGAAAAATGCATACATAAAAATAAGCTTTTTTTGAATTATTATCTATTATTATTATATGATTTGCATCTGATTTATTCTCTACTTACCATTTGTATTGAAAAATAACAAAAGCTAGGCAAATGTTATGAGATATAAACATCACGTTAAATAATGTTAGTTAAATACTGCTGAGCTAAAATAAAACAAATACCTTTAATTTGGTTAATTTTTACTATATAAATACCTTAAATTATAACCTTTTTAGCCATCGGTTTTTCTTTCGTGAAAGAATAACATGAGGATCCAAATTCTTCTTTTCTTCACTAACAAGATTGGATAACTTTCTCTTTCTACCACCGGTACCTCCAGCCTATCGTCTTTTAATGAATTCAACCTGAACACGAATTATGAAACCACTTTAACACAGACTGTTGGGTCTAATTTACAATTAAGGTCATAGAGATAGAAAATAAGTCGAGGAATCGATTTTGATTTTGCTGAACAATATCGGCCTGCAAATTTGTCTAGTGCAGCGTCTAATTGAGGACTAGGATTTTAATAGTCTGCTTTCGCTTCCTCTAAAAATGTTGCGAATGCAATGCAATTCATTTCAGTGCTTTTTTTTGTTTGGATGCCCTAGAAGGGTTAAAATATTTTTAAAATTGGTTTTCAAGCAAAATTTAATACCTCCACTCAATATTTTTGTCAAAATATTGTTAGTAAAACTACTTTGCAACATAGATCCTTGATCCTGTGGAGTGAATTTTGCGCATAGAGAAGTATTTTCTGAGGTATAACTTAATAAAGATAGTGTGTCAAAACACATTTGCAAACATGCTAAAATACGCATGCCTAAATAGAATTTCATTTACCAAGTGCATATACCATACGATCTTCAAGTCTTAATGAAGGTATAAAATTAAATATTGTAAATATGGCATTTCATTGCAATTGCTCTCTGATGTTTGCAGGGTGCTCTAGATATGCCAACAGGACAAGTACACGTTCCCAATTCACTGTTTAAAATATAGAAACGTTATCTTCTCTCGTACCAAAAACTAAAATTTATTTTTTATGCCAGTTTCTTAATAGAATTTACTGTTTTGCAATGCATAATTGTCCAGGATATTTATGTGCAATTCCAAGCAGCCTCCGCTCATAAAATCTCCGTATTTGTTGAATACTTGTACCATATATATGCTTGCGTCTTTGCGAAAATTATATCCCAAAACCTCGTTCGACATAGTTGTTTGTGTTATTTCCGCGCATAAGTAATCCAACTCGAAAAGATAGTGCCCAAAATTGACGGCGGTCCCACAAATATCCGAAATGTTTCGTAGAAGTGGATAACCATAAGAAAAAGGTTTAAATTCATCAAAATGCCCGGACCTGATAATGCATAAAAGATTTTCTTTATCTTCTCCATTATTGGTGTTCGATCTTCTTCTTAATATAGTGTTTCAATCATGGAGCCATCTCCGAAACGATTGAAGAATGTGAAACGTGCATAGAAGACGGATCCCTGCGATAATTCTAATCCAAAAAGGGTAAAAAATTAATATACGGACTATAAAATTTGCTGAAAACTTATTCATCGAATTTGAATTCAACTTAAAATAATTCAAAAATTTATTAACAAGTTGTTATTGAATTTTAGAAAAAAATAATACACACCTTGTGGCCAACACATTTTCAGAACATTACGTTAAGCCCTTGAATTATCCGTGAGAAAAATGACCGGATCTAATTGTGGACCACGTCCAAAAAAGGCATACTGTTTTCAATAAATTTACCGCCATTTCTAATGTGATTTCGACTTTGTTTGAAGTAATAAGTAGTCCGAGCGGAAGGGCACCGACTGCGCAACTAGTATGGAGGAGAGTAATCGACGTTTAAGATGTTTGAATGAAGTCAAAGCGTCCATATAACACAATACAAAGTATAAATGCCTTTCCGGTTGTGGCGTCAAATTTTGCAAGACCGCTTTACTTTGACCTGAATTGTTGTATTCTTTAGCCAATTGACCTTAAGAACTCAAAGCTCAATTTCTCATTACGACTGCCAAGTGCAGTCTCACGATATTTTCGAAAAAGACGGAGAACTGTAATATAGTCCGGATTGAATGCTCGGTCGGAAAGCATTTTCAACAATTTTGATCGCTCGTAGTATTAAGATACAGTTCATCTTTATGAGCACACAACGCGGAGACAGGCGAATGTCCGTCTTTAAACAACTCGGCAAGTCTTTCACAGAATTGTTTTTGACACGGCGAAAACTGATTCCGCCAAATTAATTACATGGTTGTGCGTAAACTTAATAATATTAATTTCTAACGAATAACTATGTGTAACTTTCTGGCGTTCCAATCGAAGATGAATGTTTGAAGTTCACGTTTCCAAGGCGAATACAGACGCAATTTCCTTGTTTCTCCTAATGGCGTAATTGTCTAGAGAGTACCCTATATTAACAATGCACTATCAAAGTGTAACTCGCTTTTAAAAATATTCCAGAAACCATTGGAGTATGTGACGCCAAAGTATATCAATAAAGAAAGCGAAGAGAGCGTATATCATAGTCTGTGTATAAAACATTTATACTGTTGCGCCGTATAACTTTAAAAACTTTTGATTTAAAGACACTTACAGTATATGAAAAAGATTTCGTATGGTAAAGTCGAAAAGCGAAAACTTTTGAATGAGCAAAGAAAATATTTGCGTTAAAGAGCACGGCGCGCGTGGGTAAAAGAACTGAGGAAGTACAATAGAATATTATTATGATATTAAAGGAAGATATTGTGCTTATTTAAGCAAACACGAAGCCATTGACCGTTGATGAGTCAGTCAGATCAATTGACGGTCATGCCACCATCTTCGACATAACCTGTCACACACTTCGGTCGTGCTTGATAATAAGTGGTGGCGATTTTTACAAATGTCATCTTGAATAGAAATGTGATGTTTATTGACTATAACCATAATTTATAAGTGCGACTGTGATTAAAAGTGTATATAGCTTAGTTATTATTTGTTTGCTTCGTAATTACAAGTATGGCAGGTTTACCAACTATTGCTTAGTGAAATTACTGCCAAATAAATATATATTGTGTGCATCGAAGTCTTTAACCAAGTTTACTCTAATTATGTACAACAATTTTGTGTATATACCTCATTATACATCGAAAAAAATTATTAAATTAGAGCTTAATAATTGATTATTGAAGACGTACTTCAGATCCATAATCGGTAAGACACTTACTAATTTCTTAGAAATTTAAGTCATATTTTGCATTACATTTTATATAATCATATAGAACAAAACGTTCTTGGAAAACTTATAGTTTAAAGAATAAGCAGCCTCTATAATTATAAGGCTCAGTTCTTATTTTCGAAGTTAGACCTTTTGTAAAAAAATTGAGGGCAGCTACCGTCTTAATTGATATCATCATTTCTAGACAGCGATAATTTGATGGCAAGTAAAACAAAATGAGAACATTTATGCCGAAAAAAAAAATAAAACATTTGAATAATATATATATTAAAAGCACTCGTTTAAACTATTGAAATTATAAGCTCTTTACATTAACGTTAAACAATGCCACAAGTTAACTGCATGCCTGGACAAACCAATCTATTCTATTAGACAAAAAAAAAACAACAGTTGGTTTATGCAAATTCATAGACAAAACTAAAAATTATTGTTAAAAGTAATTATGAAACAACGTAAGTAAATTTAAATACAATAAATTGTTACGCCAAAAATTTCGAGGGGTGCTTATTTCGAAACTATATGACCACTACAAATTGCCTTCATAAAGTGTTTATAAACTTGTGTATACAATATACCGATAAAATTAACATTTCTGCTACTTTGGAATCTGTTCATTTACCGACAGAATTTCACTGACAAAAACTACTGAATAAGGATAACTTTGAATAGTGTTGGGAAAATTTTGTCGATGCAAACGTAATAAACGTCTCGCATTCTTATACGTCAGAAATAACATAAGTGATTATATAACGTAATTTATTATATATCGGCGACAATAAATGTCATTGTTGCAATATGTAACGAAGTAGATCTATATAATGGCGTGCTCAACTCAAGTAAATAAAACGTCATAAAGGCTTAGTATTATTAACCAAGGCATAAATATAAAAGGCATTTTAACCTTACATTTGCCGACAAATCTATTAACATATCCGCCGATCAATCAGATGCATGAATAAAGTCTGAAAAAACGCATCGAATAAGTGCATTATGGCTTGACGTAATAATCTATCACAGTAAGTGAAATGATCATACAATTGCGATGTAGATAACATCTCTCCCTATTTAATTATTGAATGGGGTCATCGATCAAAGTAGTAAAGAACACCCATCATCGGCCAATTGCTACTTGTGTGCCATACTATGCATCCATAGGTAGTTACACAAAGATTGATACATTATCTATTTCACCGGGAATCTTTGATCAGTCTT